TGATTTATTGTAGAGATGAGGTCTCGCCTGCCCAGGCGGCTCTCGAACCCGCGGGCTCAGACAATCCACTCACCTCAGTCTCCCAAAGGCGCCGAATTACAGGCTGAGCCACGGAGCCCGGCCTGGAGGTTTCTTATAAATGAAATCATATAATACACGTGTGCTCTTTTGTGTCTGGCTTCTTTCACTTAGCATAATGTTTTCAAGGTTCATCCACATCGTAGCATGTGTCAGTACTTGTTTCCTTTTTGTTCCCCAAGAGTATTCTGTTATGACAGCATTTCATATTTTGCTTATCATTCTTCAGTTGATGTACAACTGATGGGTTGTTTCTACTTTCTGGCTATCATGATGCTGTGAACATTCATACAAGTTTTTGTGTGGACATGTTTTCGTTTCTCTTAGCTATACCTAGGAGTTGGGATTGGAGTTGCTGAGTCATATGGTAACTCTTTGTTTAACATTTTGAGGAAGTGCCAGACTCTTCTGCGGTGCAGCTATGCCATTTTAAACTCCCGCCAGCAGTGTATGAGGGATTTAGTTGTTCATTCTCATTGACACTTGTTGTTGTCTGTCTTTTTAAATTTAGCCATGCTACTGGGTATGAAGTAGTATCTCACTGGTTTTTTGTTTGTTTTGTTTTGTTTTTGAGTTGGAGTCTCACTCTGTCACCCAGGCTGGAGTGTAGTAGCACACTCGACGGCCACCCTAGCGTCGACCTCCTGGGCTCTGGAGATCCTTTCAAGTAGCTGGAACTACAAGCGTGCACTACCATACCCAGCTAATTTTTTTGACTTATTGCAGAGAAGAGGTTTTACCATGTTGCCCGGGCTGGTCACAAACCCGCAGGGTCAGGCAGTCTCACTTCGGCTTCCTAAAGTGCTGGGATTACAGGCTTGAGCCACCGGGCCCTGCCGCTCACTGTGGTTTTAATTTGCGTTTCCATAATGACAATGGATGTTGATCACCTTTTCATGTGTTTATTGGCCATTTGTCTGTCTCCAGTTGGAGAAATGTTATTCAGATCTCTTGCCCATTTTTATCTTTTTTAATCTATTTATTGTATAAATGAGGTCTTGCCAAATTGCCCAGGCAGGTCTGGAAGCTGTGGGCTCAGGCAATCCTCCCACCTCGGCCTCCCAAAGTGCTGGGATTATAGGCATGCCCAGCTTGCCCATTTTAAAAATTGAGTTATTTATTTTGTTTTTATTAAAGAGTTGTAAGAATTCTTAATATATTCTGGATGCAAGTCTCTTATTAGATATAGGATTTCTAAATATTTTCTTCCGTTCTTTGGGTTCTTTTCATTTTCTTGGTGAAAGTGATGTCATTTGATGAATAAAAGTTTTAAATTTAAGCTGGTCTCGGTGGCTCAGCCTGTAATCCCGTGCCTTTGGGAGGCTGAGGTGAGTAGATTGCCTGAGCCCGCGGGTTCGACACCCGCCTGAGCAGTGAGATCTCATCTCTACAATAAATAAAAAAATCAGCTGGGCGTGGTAGCACATGCCTGTAATTCCGGCTACATGGAAGGCTGAGGCGGAAGGATCGCCGGAACCCAGCAGGTCGAGGCTGCGGTGGCTGGGAGCAGCCACTGCACTCCAGTCTGGGCGACAGAGTGAGACTCCAACTAAAAAAAAAAAAATTTTTTTTTAATTTTGATGAAGTCCCATTGATCCAGTTTTTTTCTTGTTACATGTGGTTTTGGTGTCGTATCTAAGAAATCATTGCCTAAACTCAACTCGTAAAAATTCACTCTCATGTTTCTTTCTAAGAGTTTTATAATTCTAGCTCTTACATTAGATCTTTGATCTGTCTTAAGTTCTGTATGTAATGTGAAGTAGGGGTCTAACTTCGTTTTTTCCATGTGGATATTCATTTGTCCAGCACTATTTGTTGAAGAGACTATATTTTCCTTACTGAATTGTTTTGGTATCCTTGTCAAAAATCAATTGCGCACAAATGTAAGAGTTTATTTTTGGTCTTTCATTTCTGTTCCACTGATCTATGTCTGTCATTTTGCCAGTGCCACACTGTCTTGAATATTGTAGCTTTGTTGTAAACTTTGGAATCAGGAAGTGTGAATCCTTCAACCTAAAGCAGTTAAATATATCACTGTTTTTCTTTGTAGTTTGTGCTTTTTTTTTTTTTTTTTTTTTGAGTTGGAGTCTCACTCTGTCCCCCAGACTGGAGTGCAGTGGCCGCTCCCGGTCACCGCAGCCTCAACCTGCTGGGCTCCAGCGATCCTTCCGCCTCAGCCTTCCATGTAGCTGGAACTACAGGTGTGCACTCCCATACCCGGCTAATTTTTTGATTTATTGTAGAGATGAAGTCTCACCAAGTCGCCCAGGCGGGTCTCGAACCCGCGGGCTCAGGCAATCCACTCACCTCAGCCTCCCAATGCAGGGATTATAGGCTGAGCCACCGAGCCTAGCTGTAGTTTGTGCTTTTTGAGTGATATCCTTTTTTATTGTTTCTGTGGAATGCTTTTTGAATCTTAATAAATCCTTCTCTATCCCGAAGACATTCCTTTTTTTAAGTTTTAAAGGTTTACTTTTCATACTTATATCTTTAACCTACCTTGAATTGTGTATTTGTGTGGAGTGTGGGGGGTGGTGTGTGTCTGTATTGTATGAAGATGGTGCTGTTTTATTTTTCCCTATGGATAGCCAGTTGTCCCAGCATTGTCCTGCCCCACTGATTACTTTTCAGCCTATATTTGTTAGTGAATGTGCACACCTTTTTCTCTGGTTCTGAAAGTTTTTCTGACAGTGTATTATGTATCTGCTTTACTTACCATCTTTATTTTAGTGAACACTTTCTCATGTACAAGTGTTACGTTCTCTGTTTATTTTTTTGAATCAGTGTCTCACTCAGGCTGGAGTGCAGTGACACAATCATGGCTCACCACACCCTCCAACTCCTGGGCTCAAGCAGTCCTTCTACTTCACCCTCCTGAGTAGCCAGAACTACAGGTGCTTGTAGCGACATGTTCTTGCTGTGTTGCCCAAGCTGGTCTTGAACTCCTGGGCTCAAGCAGCCCTCCTGCCTCTGTCTCCCAAACTGCTGAGATTTCAGGTGTGAGCCACTGTGTCCAGCTACTTTATCTTTTAAAAAAACAACTTGGCTGGGTGTGATGTCTCATGCCTGTACTCCTAGAAAGATCACTTGAGCCCAGGAGTTCGAGGCTGCAGTGAGCCATGATCACACCACTGTACTCCAGCCTGTGTGACAGAGTGAGCTCCTATCTTTAAAAAAAAAAAAAAAAAAATTGAAAGTGTTTACAAACATAATCCATGCACATGGTAAATTTCTTTGAGTAAGAAAGAACAGAGTGAAAAAGAAATTACTCTTGACTGCAGTTCTTAGACTGCCAGTTCCTTCTCAAAAGCAATCACTATTCCTCTATTTGCTTTTTCAGAGATGCTTTTTGCAGCTACAGCTCATAATATATGATACTCTCCCCACTTTTGTACAAATGGTAGCATATAGTATAGGTACTTTGGTATTTTGCTTTTTTCTCTTAATAATATAACTTGGAGGCCGGGCTTGGTGGCTCAGGCTGTAATCTCAGCGCTTTGGGAGACCGAGGTGAGTGGATTGCCCAAGCCTGTGCGTTCAAGACCTGCCCGGGCGTGGTAGCGCGCACCTGTAGTTCCAGCTCCTTGGAAGGCTGAGGTGGAAGGATCGTCTGAGCCCAGGAGGTTGAGGCGTGCTGGCCGGGAGTGTGCCACTGCACTCCAGTCTGGGCGACGGAGTGAGACTCCAACTCAAAAAATAATAATAATAATAATAATATAACTTGGAGTCATTTGCTACCATATATGAAGATGCTTCCTTATTCTTGTTTGGAACTACACAGAGTTCCATTGTTTGGATGTACCATAATTTATTAAACCAGCCCTCTTAGAGGGCATTTCCTTGTTTCTTCTCTTATGCTGTGAGAGGCAGTGGTGCCGTAAATGATCTCATATGTAGGTCCTTGTGCACATGGGTCCTTTCTCTGTGGGCCTTTACCTTCCTTTGCCATTTGTCTTTTGATTTGGTTTTTGCTGTGTATATGTTGCCCAGGCTGGTCTAAAACTCTTGGGCTCAAGCAGTCCTTCTGCCTCAGCCTCCCAAAGTGCTAGGATTACAGGTATGAGCCATCACGATCAGCTATGTGTTTTAAATAATGAGCATAATTTGGCATTTCTTGGCCTCAGATGGCACGTCTAGATCTTTTTGTGTGTTTAGGAAAGATTGTGATCGTCTCCATCATCATACCGTATAAAATGTGGGAATTAGAGTTCTGTCTAATTGAATGCTCCGTGGCGATGCTTAATGTATTATGGCTCTCATTCATATATACATATGTATATATCAGTATATATGAAATCTGCCACCTTTGTAAAAACTGCAAGATATTCTATTGTGTGGGTGTGTGGGACTTTGGAGTAAAAAATATGTGCATTTAAATCATAGTGGGTATTAGCATTCATCCCAAAATGTCCTCATAACTTGAAATACTACATGGAATTCCACAAGTACAGAAGAGTTGGGATATTAATACAAAGAATCTCTCCACTGCCAATTTGAACCAACCAAAAAATTCAAGATTAATATCTGTTGTAAACATCTAAATCTTTTAAAAGTGATTATAAAAGGAATGTTAATAATATAGCTTTTAGCTGGGTGTGGTGGCTCACACCTGTAATCCCAGCACTTTGGGAGGTAGAGGCGAGAGAATTGCTTGAACCCAGGGATTTGAAACCAGATTGGACAACTTGGTGAGACTTCGTCTCTACAGTAAATCAAAAAATTAGCTGGGCGTGGTGGTGTGCACCTGTGGTTCTAGCTACTTAGAAGACTGAGATGGAAGAATGACCTGAGCCCAGGAGGTTGAGGCTGCAGTAGCCGTGATTTGAGACTTAGACTCAAATAATAATAATAATAATAATAATAATACAGCTTTTAAAAATTAAATAAAATATGATTGCTATTTTGAGAGGTATTCCCTAATATCTTTTTTTTTTTTTTTTTTTTGAGTCAGAGTCTCATTCTGATGCCCAGGCTAGAGTACAGTGGCACACTCGTGGCCACCGTAGCCTGAACCTGCTGAGCTCAGGTGAGCTTTCTGTCTCAGCCTTCCAAGTAACTGGAATCACAGGTGTGTTCCACTGCAGCTGTCTAATGTTTTAAATTTATTGTAGAGACAAGGTCTCGCCAAGTTGCCCAGGCTGATCTCTAACCCCTGGACTCAGACAGTCCTCTCGCCTCTGCCTCCCAAAGTGCTGGTATTACAGGCATGAGCCACCACATCCAACTCCCTAAATCTTTTGTCCTTGAATTTTCATCTTAACTCTGCTCTGATCAGGAGTTTTCAGTAATTTTGCCAGAAAGTATGTCTTCAGATGTTCTCAGTGATCATCTGCCATTTTCAGGGGAATGTTTCAATACCCCAGGCTCGAAAGAGCCATTCAGCAGTGCTTTCAGTCAAGACCAAACACTCCCCAGGATGTTTTTTCCAAGACAACTGTCCTTCTGCCCTAGAGGCAGAGTGCTTGAGAGCTCCCCTCTCTCTTTCTCAGTTCCTGGACCCTCAGGGCCCCCTCGTTCCTGGCTTTGGACACCGGAGACTCATTGGGGTGAAAGGCTGGGGGGAGTTAGTTAAATGTACCATTTTGACTTATGAGTGGATAGTGGTTGTAAAAAATCCAAGCCAGGCTTGGTGGCTCAGCCTGTAATCCCGCGCCTTTGGGAGGCTGAGGTG